ATACTCACTAAAACAAATAACAACAACCCTAATTTGAATAATCCTGACAGGGGTGCAAATTCTATGCTGAATACCTAGATATGCCTTGATCTTGCAATGTGTGGTAAAGTAAAAGTTACCTATGTGGATTTCTTGTAGTAAACTGTTGATATTGACCATAATGAATGTGATTTCTACACTGTATGTTATAATTGTAAATATGAGCATTGCATTGCTCTTTATTTTTGAATCTTCCAAAGTTATGTCATAAGCCATAATTTGGTGCATTTAGAGTATAGAGACAAATCAAAGTATTTCAGGTAACTTTTTAAGCTATAATTACTCTGCTTTAAAATTGTGTACTTTACTTAGTACAAGTTATCATGACCTGTATCACAATGTAACTGATGATGATGGTGATGATCATGATGATGAAGATTATTATTATCATAATTATCATTTTCATATATTTGTTATTTGGCCAATAAATTGTGAACAGACCACATTTCCAAGATGTAGCTGCATCTTTACTGCCCCATCCTTTTTCACATAATATTTCCATAGATTTTAGTCTTCTGTTAACTGACAATCAGTTGGTAGTTGCCAACTGTGTTAACATGGCTGTTTCCATTTCCATTTTGTTTTTACACAATTTTAGTACTCAATAAGATATCCCATGATTTGAATTTTATGTTTTGACTTTTTAAATTGGTAAGCCTCTGTACTTTTATGTTGAGTATTCTATATTTATAAATGGTAAATTGTAATTAATTTATTATATTTTTCACACAAATCCGGCATGTCAATATTTCCCATTGAGTTTTGTATGTTTTCATTGTATGATTGTATTTCATTGTTATTTTTAGTCTGATAATGAGGGAGAACAATTCCTTGAAACTGTCTCAAGAACTGTAATATATATTTTGTAAATTTTCCTGATGCTGTGGTATTTGTCAAGAGTGAATAACCTCATCATGCTTACAAGGTTGTCTGTCGATAATTCATTGACCAAATAACAAGTATGTATTTGAGTAGTGATAGATGCTAATAACATGAAATGAATTATCATTATCATATTGGACAGGTCGAAGTCCAATTTCTTCAAGATTAGATGTTTGATAATCTCTGTAGTTGTTGGCTGTCTTCATAACACATTTTTTATGGACATTTAAAAGACTCTGAACTTATTTTTGAACAAAAGTTTTTACAATAGTTTTATAGGAGCTGAAATCCTATAAACTTCTACATATAAACAAACATTAATATACACTTAATATTGAAGCTGATTTGAGTACACAATTCACGAATTAGTTTCACTCATATTTATATACATATATAATAGGAATTAATATACAATAAGAATATACTTGGAATGACAAGTCATTCTTATGGGAAAGAGATCGATTTAGTAAATTATTGGTACTTCACATTAAAATTATACTTTTTAGGAAATTAGCCACTTGATCAGTGTTCAGTTAATATAATATTTTACAATATTTGCAAGATTTGAGGAATTATAGCATTAGGTTTGATAATGTTTGTAATTAAGTAAATTGAAATGTGTCATGAAGACAAGATGAAACAATAATTTTTAAACAAATTTGTCAGTCAATTGACAGAAAAGATATTTTTATGTAATTTCTCAATATTTTCAACACACAAAGGCTATTGAGAAATTCATTATTAGTTGGTGTAGTCTGAGGAGAAGTGGGATTGAAATAGAGATATGTTGAATTGCATGTGTGCTAATAATTTTAATAATTTATTTCTACTTTGAGAGAATTGTATTTAACAAAACAAAATCCTCTATGATTGTTTGACAATTAACTTATTGTGGAGGAAAGTTTTTAGGTTTGTTACATAAAGTGATGTATATCTGGGTGTGTTTAAGCTGCTGGCAGTTTTTGCACCGTTTTGGATAACATGGTTTGTTTCAAAATTTGATAATTATTACTTTTCTATTAAATGTTTATTTAATTTTAAAATTGCTTGACTTTGGTGAGTATTTTTTATTAAGAGTGTTTTATCTATATAAGTAAAATATAAAATATTATACAAGTTGCAATGTTTTCTATAATTTCTAAAATTCTCAAAAGCTCCAAAGAAAAGTTGATGTGTTATCAAATGAAACTAATAAAAAATATGTTTTATCAATAGTTTTAATATTAGAAGAAAAAATAAAGTAAATTTTGGGCAGTTGTGAAATTTTATCAAAATTTATGGGTGGAATTTTTATATCAAAATGTTGATTCTTTCCTTGATCTTGCTTAGATTACTCTACATTAGAATCACTCTTTTTCTTTTGGTTATTGCGCTCACCCAAATAAACATCATTATATTGTAACCTCTAAGTAGATTCCAATTTTTGTTAAACTGTTAAGATTATATCTTGTTTGTTTTGTATGTGGAGTGGAAATTGTTGATCTTGGTGCTGAAAAGCGTCTAGACATAAAGGATCTTGAATGTTTTAAACTTCCATATATGGTATTCGATTATTGATTTGTTGAAGAGAAGTATCACCATCATAATGTACACTATGTTCACTATGTAGTCAATGCATGACACATACCTTTGGGGTAACAAAGTGCAATAGTTAAGAGTACTATTTATTAGTTAAAATTATATTATAACAGAATGGTCCTTTAGGATGGGTCATTGGCAGCGTACTAGCTTCCAGTAGTGTGATCCCGGGTTCGATTCCCGTTGGAGACAAAAAAGAGTTGTAGAAGCATTCCTTCGAAATGGTCTGTTTCGGTAGCTGTATCACGAAGAAAATCTCAGACAGGCGGAGTTTACTAGTTACGGTGAAGGAAATACGGTATAGCCGCAACATGTCTCTCTTATCCCCCAAGCGTGGGAATTAAACTTGGCCCGGGCTTGGGGGACACCGTTAGCTAGTCAGAATGCTGGACAGTCTACCCCAAATAACAAATACATGCTTAATTATAGCAGAATGAATATTTTTTGTAAGAAGGCAATTGAGGCGTTCTTAGACGTACGAAGATGCTGAAGTGGGCAGAAAAACTCAATCAATTATATTTTTTAAATTTATTTCCTACTCTTTCGACCCTTCCGGCCTTTCGAGGGTTTATAAAAAATAAATTACATGAACACTAGGGTGAATTTTCAACTTTCCAAAAGTTGGGCTCCCACCCCCTATTTTGTTCCAATCAACAACAAAACATTCCCTGCAAAATTTTAGCTCAAATTGACCACTTTAAAGTGACTCCATCAACCCTAAAGTTTTGAGTGTACCGTATGCCATGTGAACTTAGTTGTGCGGTTCTTAATTATTTAATATATTATCAATTATAGGGTCAGTGTACTAAGTATCGCCTACACTAACTATTTCTGCGTATCCCAGCCTGTTGAGTTGGAAAATCAAACTGAAAATTAAATTATAAACTCTGCAAACAATCCTTCTTTGGCTTCGTGAGGTTAAATCATTCCGAAATCTATTTCAGTTTATGATAATAATTAATTTTAAAAAAGTCACATTTAAATTTTTTTACATTGGTTCCTAATATCGTCTAACCCTGGTCCTATTTTCGCCCACCAGGTGGAATTAGGGGACAGGTCAAAACAAAACAAATGATTGGTAATGTAGTTTTTTTATTCTTTCAAAAAATGCTAAATAATTTTTTTAATGCTAGATTAAGTTAAAAAAATATAAAGAAGATTTTTAAATGCTAAATCTTTCTTTTGTTGCTAGATTAGTTATGTTTTAAGTGAGGCCTCTAGAGGGCGTGTGTGACGGAGGATTACACTATAGTGCGCTCAACGCTCCTTAAGGAGCTAGGAGACGCGTTGCGTCCAGACCCAACAAAGTGTTCCTGCAATAAGCGCACACGTATTGCTCGCCTTTCCCACTTACAGCATCCCAAAATTTAGGCGCTCTTAGGCGATATTTCGAGTAATTTCATTTTTTGATTCCTTATTTACACCACTATTAGCTGATGTTAATTAAATTGTGATTTGAAATGACTTACCTTAAAATATACTTAATTGATTGCAGAAGAAAAAAAGCTTCACAGGAGCAAAATAACCCTCAGGCACCATATAGTAGTTGTTACGATAACTAGTACATTGATGGTTTGCGCTGCATGTAGATATAAGCCAGAACTATAAGTATCGCATAAGAAACGATACATAGGGCGCATGGCAACTTGGAAACACGAATAAGCGATATTAAGCACAGGTGCGATAATTGGTATACTGACCCTACTTACAATAAGATACACTTATTTTACTATCCCCCGTTTTTATGTTAATGATAATGCTAAATTAGATCATTGTTATTATTATTTTTTATCATTGTCATTATTATTTCTATTACTCCTATTTCTGGACACTGAAAAGGGATGTTCCTCAAGCAAAATAAGCAAACAGTCGAGATCTTGGCTGCCCGGGTGACGCCGCGTCGAAAGCTGTGTTGTAGACGTTTCGATCATCTTCCTCAGGGCTGGTCTGCTGGGCAGAGCATGGAGATTGTAGCTAACTGGTTGAACAACGGCGTGTATCTAAACACTGAATGCGCTTCTGATTATCCTGCGCGACGAGCTAGGCAGCATTTACTTCTTTTTCTTGACTTCACCATATCGAGTAACATGGGGACTACCCTGGCGGTGGTTTGAATTCCTGCCTGCCAGACGGACAATCGCTGAACAAAGCTCGAGAACACCAACTACGGTTTGTTCCGAACTTCTTATTCATCTGGTTTCCCCACTTATTTCCCAGCAGACCCTGTATCCAGGGACCTTTTCTCCGGCGCGTCTCCCCGGACAACCACCTAAATGCAGGGAGCACTATGTCAGGGGCAATAGGGATGGAATAGAGAACCTCTTATTAAGCATTTTTTGGCAAGCAGGTCTTCTTGGCTTGCTTTTCTCGTGGAGTTTCCTCCCTGCAGTCTCCTTAGCGTTGAGGTCCTCTTCTGGAGTATTACGTCTGACCCCTCCCCTTCGTCCGACAAGGGAGACCCTACCTGTAGCTACGTCACCAACAGAATAGCTCTCAGGATCATGAGGTATTCAGCCCCATCACCAATTACAAGTTTCTGCACTTCCAAGGAGAAGTTTATTTTTTCCATTATTTGTATTTAAATAACTTTCACTTTGTTTCAGAATGAAGTGGGTTGTAGCTCTGTTTGCTGGACTTTTTGTGGTTGCACTGTCAAGTGCTGATGCAGAAATATGGGAAGAGGATGATAACGAAGTTCTCATTCGCAGCGAAAGGGGAGCGAAAAACAAAGGTAATGAATAACGTTCTTTTAAAAAAATGTAATATGATTTAAATTTTATTATATGTAAGAAAAATAAAATCTTGGACACGATGATGGCACGAATGCATTATCGGTATTTTCGCATGAGCTCGGGGGTATTAATATTTTTAGTATATATAACATTTTCTAACAAGTTTTGTACGTATTTTAACATGACTTGTGAGTTTTAAGTGGTAAGTATTTTACGGGAACAAATGTGATTCAATACCGATTACATGTCATAGCAGTTCAGAATGACCTTCAACCTCTTTTAGAACTATTCTTCTAAGACAAGAAACATTTGTTGCTCTGGAGTGAAATTGTATTTTTTACACGCTAAGTTTCGTGTGAAAAACAGTGCACATGGGAGAAACAATCATTTGGAATATTTTGATTTTATTTTTAATAATAAGTAGGGACCTGTTGAATAAATAACCATCTACAGCTGCACCTATTGATAAACTAAATAAAATAATATTTTTACTAAATACTTTACTATATTTGTAACATCATGTCCGTTCCCTAATTCCACATACTGTTGAACTGAGCAATATCCCTTTCATTTGTAATTTTGATGTTATTACTTATTATCAGAATTAGCACAACCTCCTACATCTCAGCTACAAGAGTTTCTAAATAAAGGGAGAAGTGGAAGATCGAAAGTTCAGAAAATTGTAAAGAATAATATGAGAAAACTAGGAAGATAAATTTATTGAAAAGAGAAGAGAAAAAATTTAAAAGATCAAAAGATGCAAAACAGAAAATAAAAATAACACGACTAAGAAGTATAATGATTGAAAAGAGTAAAGATGTCGCATGATTCCCGAAGGCATGCGCAAACACCAGTTGAAGGGATTATGTCTGTGTTAAAGACGAAAAGTTCATAACCAAAAAAGCTATTTATTTTTTACTATTTCAGAAGTTTACGAATTTTACATGGAAAAACATAAAATTAACATGGAAACACAAGACTTAGTTACAAAGGTATAAATATTGTTTTCCCACCTTTAAAAGCCTTATTTATGAAAAAATCTCGCCGATTCTTATAGCGAAAAAGAGAAATTTAGTGCAAGATTAAGTTGTGATACAGATTGACATGTCGGAAAATTTTAGTGTATTTTCCGAAGATAAAGTGCAGAGTGCCCATTGGCAACATTCTCAGACGGCAATTTTTACAAGCTGCTTATTGGCTACAAAACATGAGTCATATATTGTTAGTCAGTGATAACTCATGTCATTCAGGATCTTCTTCTTTGACATTTTTGAAAGCAATAACATCAAATTTTAAATACAGCCATCCATAGTAGGAATTTGACTGTCTCCACAATTTTTTCTGTCGAGCGTGCTGCACAATTCAACCCTTCGGAAAACGCTCCTATTTCACTTATGCGAGCAGTCGCGCGTTGCACTATTACATCACATTTATTGTTTTAACATATTTATTTTTCTCATAAATTTTATTCATATTTTTCATCTTGGAGTGCTTGTTGTAGTATATAATTGTGCTTTTGTTGCTACAAAAATTAAAATCTTTGTGAGGAGACGCTCGTTGTAAAACGTACAACACAATGCACGCGCATTCAGAATTTTATTTGTGTGCCAATTGCTTAGCAAAGATTACTAGAGTTCTGTTTGTAATAAAATGCGACGTTGAAAGCACAAGATATTTTCTAAACAAAAGATGAGATTCGACGAAAGAAGTACCTGGGGAGTAGGAACTTCCATAATTTTGAGAGATTTGATGAGAAACATATTTGCAAGCTTTATTACTAATTCAGAACAAAAGAAAAAAGTTGTTTTTCCTACGAAAACAATTCAAAATTATTTATTAATTATCTGATTAATTTTGTAATAATGAATAATATTTCTCATTATTATTTATTAAATAATTTGTGAACACCAACTCATTGAAACATACTGAAAAACCTCAAAGGTATTTTATTGTATTTGATAGAGTAAGGGACCTGATTTGTGCTTCAATAACTCAACAGCGCTTTCAAAGCTTCAGCATTTCGGAACATCTCTAACATGACTGTTATTTTAATAACTTTGAAATTGTTTTAAGAAAATATTACAAAATCTTCTAAAATGAAGTCCTTTCTTTATTATACCAATAATTTTGTCATAGAAAATTGTCCTTGACAAGAATAAAAATAAAAAGATGTTAAAATGTAACTTCCGTAACAAATGGAATGGCCGCAATAACTCTTTAGAAAATGAAGAAAATGGTTCCATGATATTGACATAGAAAGGAAAAAAAGGAGAATTCCATGCCACAATATTTAAAGGGCAAGAAATACTTTTACATTTACTTTACAATGACTGATACTGATGAAATTTTGAATCTGATTGCAGACATTACAAAAATCTGCCACTTAACAATCTAGAAGCTTTCTCGCCTGATAAACGTTATACTTATGCACTAATGTAAGAAAATAATATATTCCTTTAATGAGAATAAGAATTCCAATAATTTTTTTATTGTATTGTAACGAGTCAAGGTTAAGTGTATTTAACATCGAGAAGGCGTTTACATACACTGCCTACTTGAGACGAAGACATAGGTTGGATACTATTGAGAAGTAAAAGATATACAGAAAAATAGAATCAGCAACGAGAATAAAGGTGACATCTTGCTGAACGGACGAAAATTTGACGACTGGAAACATCGACTACGAGTTGGAATATATATATAAGTATGTAGTAGTCTCGGAGTACAGGCGTGTGATATGTATTGGAATATAGAAGAGAGTTGAAGGTCTCCGGTTATTGACGATGTTTGACGTCTTGGAATATAAGCGAGAAAGTATATGTCTTGAAGTACAAACGGAATGTGGACATATTGAAGGAACGTTTAGTACTGTATTTGTTCTCCAGTTACCAGTTGTTGTGTAAAGTTTCTATTATCATTGTAAATAAATGCTTATTTTTGATTTTGGAAGTTTTATAAATTTAATAAACCAGTAAGTTGTCATAGTTCAAATCTACGGTTAATGCCGTAGAATCATCAACCCCTAAAACAAATAAGTGGATATTTTTATTTTTCTCTTTTAGAATCTAATTCATTAAACGGAAAGAATAAGAACCATCCCAGAGTATAGTTTTTTTCCCTATACGTACGTATTTACAGATTAATATATGTAATGTAGGGAGAATTATTTAATGCTGCGGAAAACCGATTCTGATATTTCAACAGAAATACTCGTTTTGGGGTCTCTTGATACCGAAAAAGTATTTTTTCTTCAAAACGTCCGTCCGTCCGTGAACACCACACAACCCAACGAAGGATTTTTTCCAAAACGGATATTCCCCGGCCGATCTGGCTTGACTCGAGGCGCTGCGATTTTGAAAAACTTTCTTCAAAATTTCGGTGTACTTTACATGAAGCCTACAGGCTTTCATAATTTTAAAAAAAAGGCTCCAAATTATTTCTTTAAATTTGTTGTAAAAATAGAGTAAAATACACTTATAAAGGTGGCATCGGTCCGATTTTCAGAATTAACTTTAATTTTTTGAAAATTTCAAAATTTTAAAATTTTTAGGGCGTTTTTCTAAAACTTCAAAATTGAAGATAAGGTTTTTTTCCTTCAAATAAAATTTATTCTCCGTAGTGGGATCTCTCATTAAGGCATTGCACATTTTTTTGGAAATTTTTGTAGATTTCGCGCAATATTGCGAGCAATTTTTTGCGATTGTAAGAGAATTTCAAAAACAAGATTTTTCTCAAAAACGGCTCAAGTTTTTCAAATTCTGGTAGGGATAGTGCAAAATGCACTCTATATGATGACATAAACGGCATAATGTTCTATTCTTTTGTTTGTTCAAAAATTACAAAAAAATAATTTTTTGACTTCTCTCACGTCGTTAATATTTATATTAACGGCAATTTGTTCACATTATTATATTTATGAGTACATGTGTCATAAAGTTTTTTCTAAAACTCATCCATTTTCTGTGAAAACTTGCTCAAAATTCCGCCAGTGCAGACGCTGGCCGCCATGTTGCATGGAGAGCGAGTAGTGTTGAGAAACATTTCGAAAGTGGCATAAAGTGAAAAATTTCAACGGTAACAAACCATAAATAACACGATGAAGATGTACGATTTTTAAAAGAAACGCTTAATATGTTTCAATGACCTGTGACAAGAAGATAATTTTGATACCTGGCTGCATTAAATATTCCCACCAAATTATGCGCAAGCTGGTGCCTGAAGCACATTGTCTGAAGTCAGATACGATGCGCAGTAGCTTCCAGATGTCTTTCCATCATGGGCCAGACATAGGACGACAACGCACAACCATATGGCTCACTCTGCTGTCGGCTGGGCTACATGCTCCGCCTTGACCAAACGGACGGACAAACTGACGGACGGACGTTAAGCTGTCATTCGATTTTTCGATAACAAGGACCCACAAAACATGGATGACAGCTTAACGTCCGTCCGTCAGTAGAATTTATCCAATTACATAGCGTCAAACGAAACCGCGCGGAACGCCATCGAGGCGGACCTTTTAAACACTGACACCGTACCACGGACGTATGACTGAATCTCAATGGCATCAGCCGAAATGGGAGCTGCGTTGAGCAGCATAGAATCAACGGTGCTACTTTGCGTGACCTCTTCAGTATATTTGCCAACTACTACCACTGTAACATCGTCAGCAAATCTAATAGTCCTAGCGCCTTGGAGCTTCAAAACGGAGTCATACATAATATTCTACAATATCGGGCTAAGTGCCGAGCCTTGCGGAACACCGTCCGAGATAACAAAAGTCTTACTTCTGGTTTGTTTCCTATAGTAAAGTCCTTTCCTCACATTACCTTCCGACTATTTTCATTGTGTAATTCGGAACTCCCAGTTTTTAAAGCAGCAAATATGGAACTCCACCTTGCCATATTAAATGCGTTCCTGACGTCGATGCGCAATACTTCTTCGCATCTCTTCTCCATCATTTCCCACAATAGCCTTGCGTTCGATGACGACCCTGATTGCGTCGTATGTGGATCTCGCCTTCCTGAAGCCATACTGATTATCGGACAGTCGCTATGGTCCCTCCGTGTGGGCTTCAATCCGTTTGCAGATGATCCGGTCTAATACCTTGCCTGCTGTATCCAGTAAACATATTTGCCGATATGCTGACGGGTCGCTAGGTTGTTTGTCGCCCTTTTGAAGGAGGGCCAGCTGTTGTTGCTTCTAACGACGATGGAAATTCCCCTCTCGCATGTACGCATTATGTCTCGAAGAATAGGCCTGTCCGAGTCCTAATAGTGGTCTTAATAGCCATTACTATGTTGACTTCGAGATGGAACTCTCCCATTGGACGGGGGTTGCTTTATAGGACACATTTACACACATTTTTAGCCAAGCACAATACATATTAACACAATTATTTACAAAACACAGTATTTAAATGTTACAAATTACAAGTGCTCACTTACACAACTTCGAGGAAAGATAATAAGTTGTGTAAAATGTTGCCTGATTTTTGAGTGGTGAACATTATTACTGACAGTCTTGCTGTGAGGATGAAGTCTAATTGTTAAACATTTTGCAGCCATTCTCAAGCCATAGAAAGTGGTTGTCTTCTGGTTCCTGATCAAGAAAGTAATGACAAAGGCTTTCAAACAAATTTTCGATAACACACCTTTCAAAAACGTAAGGAATCAAAGTCAAGTGCTTGACAAACTGACACAGGGTATAGTTTGTTCTGCCACCAAATTGCGAAAATCTTTTTCAGAGAATGAACATACTTTCATTACCTCATTTAATGATATGGCCAATACTGTTTTTTGCATAATACTTACCCGTAGGTTATAACCGGCACTATATGTTACCTCTTGTTCGCGCAACCAAACGTTAGGCAGGTGGGCATGGCCAATTTTACCTACGATATTAGCCTCTATTAGTAGACTATAATTCTATCACACGATAATCTCTAAATGTATATGAAAAATTTACGACTTCGTCGTACTGGAACAACACTTAATAGATGTACACGTAGGCTTCCGCGGCTCGAGTTCAGCCTAGAAGGTTAATAGAGCCAGGTTGGTTTGTACTAATATGGCCGTCGCACGAAGTCACTGGCTTCATGGAAATCCTCTATGAGCGACACTCCTGTATAGGAATGGAAATCCTCTATGTATAGTACTATTTGGAATATACCGTGTCTAAGAGAATATGTTTACGAGATGAATTCACTACAACTCGTCAGTTTTCCCCGTTTTTTCGCGGCTCTAACGATGTTGTCTTTTATTTTCTCCCACGCGTCATCAGTACTATCTTCAACCCTTAACCGTGTATTGAAAATTAGGACGTTTAGTTTATCTGAGTACAGTAGCAATGCTTTAATTTCATTTTTATCATAGCAGCAAATATTGTTGATATGATAACAAATTAATATGTGTTATCATAGTTGCAAATGATGCTGAATTCTTGACGTTTCAGATTCATGAAAACCATATAAGTTACTACTACGATTAGTACTACTACTACTACGATTAGTTCTACTACTACTACTACTACTACTACTTCTACCATTAGTAGTACTACTACTACCATTAGTAGTACTACTACTACCATTAGTAGTACTACTACTACTACCATTAGTAGTACTACTACTACTACTACCATTAGTAGTAGTACTACTACTACCATTAGTAGTAGTACTACTACTACCATTAGTAGTAGTACTACTACTACCACCATTAGTAGTACTACTACTACTACTAGTTGTAGTACTGCAACTACTGCAGCATTTTCATCTGTTGCTAATGTTGTCACTAGTGTCCTAGTACTGTTAGTTCTATTAGTAGTAATAGTAATGTTAATGCTACTACTACTAGCAAATTAATTTTTGTTGCAGATCAATGTCGCTACGTGAAAGGATCGTGGACTGAATGCGACACAAAAACTAATATGCGAACAAGGACCTTAACTCTCAAAAAAGGGGACAGAGCAACTTGTGAATTAACGAAAACTATTCAAAAGAAATGCAAGAAAGGTAAGAAATATTGGAATTTATATGTTTAGTTTTGCATCCATTAGCGTTTAATATGTTTGTTTTCTATTTTTTTTTGTGTGTTTTTGATCTTGAATGGAGGATACATTCATAACAAGTGATTTATAGGTTTTATGTCTTGGGTTAGAACGGAAATATCTCTTGGTAATGTCGAAACTTGCCACAAAACGTTTTAACTCGAAGTCCATAAGCAGGTCTCTAGCTTGATAGAGCATTTTAATTGTTGGACAAAATTTAAAACACAGCAACAAAAACAAAGAAAGAAATTATAAACGTATAAATATATAACTTGGCGCACCTCCGGAAAAGATTATCAAACTTGGTCAACTGATACTGATATAATTAATACAGAGAAGCGTCGCGCTCTGCTCGCACCCTTCTCACCTCAAGATACTATGATTTAAAGCCTACTCGATCCATGCGGGATTGTGGAGAACACAAGTTGGTAATTATTTACAAACGTGAAACAGTATGCGATGTATGGGGGAGAAGCAAAAATCTGTGCAGGTTTTCTTGAGGTTGGGACTCCCTAGCCCTGTTTTACTATACTACGTACTTGTAGTTATGATTAAAGTTATCATCGAGCCTTAATTTATTGCAAATAATATTCGTTTCCGTGTAATTGAAAGAGTAAATAATTTACATGTTGTTTGATAGTACTGCTGACAAAATAACTCACCCAACCAACAAGAGGGAAAGTTCCATCCAGTCCAGCAGAAAAAATAAGGGACCCTTTCTTCATATTCTCATTCTCAAGGATAACTGGGCAAAACAATCGAAACGGGTTATTTACCCAGAATCTGAATAGGTCAAAAGTCGAGGGACAACCTAAAATTATGCATTATTTCTTCCTGTTTTCTGCTTTCGCCTAACCATGTAATAATTATATAGTATCAAAATGGCTCCTAAAATACGTAATATTTTGAAATGCATTCGGCCATTTTATCTGTTCTAGAATTGATTTTATAGCAATTTTTCTGTTTTGAAAAGGGTGTAAAATATAGACCAAATGTTAATTTAAAAACTTTAATATTTCGGAACGATTCCACATAGGCTAATGAATTTTGATATGTGTATGGATTTGCAGGAAATGACCGGTCTCGTTTTCAAAATAGTTTGTGATAACCCTGCCACAGGCTTGAACCCATTTCCCTTTACAAATCTTTTTGCACAAAAATTGTTGTTTTTTTTAGTTTTGACTGTTTCCGTAATTAATGCCTTATGCCCCAGTATGACTAAGATTTTACAATATTGGTTACAGACTATTTAGTCCTTTAAAAATATATATTACAAAAGGTAATTTCTTGATCAATATCATTATGAAATTACAATTTTTGTTTCTCATACTCAGTTTAGTCTCAAATTCTGTAGAAACAGTAATGCAGAAGAAACGATTTTACTTTTCATTTAAACCTGTGTACTGATTTAAATTTTTTTTTATTGTTATGTGACTGCGTTGTAAATCAGCGCAGGGAAAAATTAGGAATAGCGAGATGCAAAAAATTGGATAACAAATTAGTGAAAAAATATTTCTTCAGAAAAATTTGTGCAATACATGGCATACATTGGTATCCAAAAATATTAAAAGATTTATTATGTAATAAGTTGTCGATGTATTAAACAATTGAAAATGAAATTGTCTCGCTGTCCTCTTGGGATTTTGATGGTGGGAATAGTACGCCGGCACTAGACGAATAGAGTCGGAACACTGAGACATTGTCGTAAATTCTAGCAAACAACATAAAAACAAAACCTATAGGAAATGAAATAGCAGATTGTTGCCTTTTTGTCCTCCCATGTGTTGTGGGGTTAGGAAAAAGCAGTTTTATCTATTCATGATCAATGAATGAAATGTCAGGTACAACAGTCATACAATTTTTTTCCTCTAGTTTCAAACGTTTCCTATAAAACATAACTTCATATTCAAATGGCTCATTTAACGACAGAATTTCGTTTCACTGCATGGTCGGTATAAGTATCGTTTTTTAAACGGATGTCCTCACGAAACTTTTTCACATATCAGCTGTCAGTTTGACATCACAAGTCATGTTGTTTGGCTGCACAAATCACACGAGCATTAGCTTGTGTGATTTTCTATAATCAATTTTACAGCGTCCTTCATTGAAGACTGAAAATCGTCCTATTTATTCTTTCAATTTTGTTATCTTTTTCTTGTCATTGTTTAAATTCAAACTAAAAATTAATGTTTAATGATTAGGTAATTCCAGAAATTTAGATTAGACATTGTATATTTTAAAAATACGTTTTGTAATGTAGGAATACTGGAAACCTGGTTTATGAATGAATCCAAATGAAAAATATGTTAAACTTACAAGAAGTACCGAAGAGTCGGATACTTCAATGGACGGTAACGAAAAAGTTGCCCAATTGCTAACTATAGAAAAAATTCTTGTAACACCGGCGTACCCAGAATTCATGTTTTGTGGGTTCTTGATACCGACAAGTCGATTGATTTCAAAACGTCTGTCTGTCTGTCTATAAACAACGTTAGCGATTAAACCGTTCAAGAGATTTTCTCCAAAATTGATATTACTCAATTCATGTGGCTTGTGTGGCAGCTCCTTGAATTTGAAACCGATATTTTAATTTTGGGGAGTACTTTTCATGAAGCCCCCGTGACATTTTCAAAATTTTCAAATAATTGCCACCAAATTTTTGGATTTCATTTTGTTGTTGGATAGTGTAAAGAACATTTAAGAAAATGGTGCAGGTCTCATTTTCGTCAAAATTCATGACTTTTCGAAAATTGCAAGAGTTCACTTTTTTCGGCGTCTTCCAGCAACTTTCGGCAATTAAAAATATTAAAGACAGTTTTTTCTTCGATAAAATGTGTTTATCAGAAACACATCTTTAAATATAGTCGTGTTGAATTTTTCGAAAATATGTGTGTTTATTGCTTGAAATATAGGCGCTTTTAAAACCATTTTGAACAATTTTTTTTCAAAATCGCCACCATTTTTTCTTTAAATTTTTTGTTGTTTAGAAAAGTATGGTAAATAAAATTATGCTGAGCTCATTTTCGGTGCATTCTGTATTTGCAAAATTTGCGAAAAAATGAACATTGTCAAAGTAAAATATTGATGATGTTTTTGTTGCATGAAATCTGTTCTTAAACATTAGTTCTTTAAGATATTCATGTGCTATTGTTTTAAAATGAGTATTAAGGGTAATTTTATAATTTTGAAATTGCATTTTTGAATCTCCCGCGCTTTGTTTGACGATCTTTCAGTGTAAAATTCTTTTGAATTCTTCACTTTATTGGACGGACATGGCGCCATTACGACGTTTTGTTTTATTTATATATTTTTTACGGTAAAAGCAGAAATAAACTCTGTGACATACAATGGGGATAAATGTGTTCTGTGAACGTTTTCATAAATAATTGTAGCCCTACCCTAACCCATAGAAATGCTGAATTGTGAAAACAGATAGAAACGAACACTTTTTTGTTTTTCAATTTATTTTTTGAAGATTGCTCTTTAACATCAATGTTATCAGCGACGCCTATCATTATACAATTGCATAGACAAATATAGTAGTTAAAATTTTACCAAAAATAATTATGTCAAAAATGTAGTTTGTTCTTCGATTAGTAATGAGAATTTAATAATAATATGTATTAACTTTTAATTATGTTCTTTCTCGCATTCTGCTAACGCACAATGTTTGAAGGCCAAAAAACTCGAAGGATATGTTCGTGAATGCACTGAATAACTTATATTTGAATTCAGTGTATATTTTCATTAACAGATTTGAATGTTCAAAAATTTCTCACACTTCGTTTATTTACGAGATAAAGTGATATTTGATGTGTAAGAAAGTCCGAAATTATTGCATAATATTTCATAACAATAACATAATATTGCGAGAAAGTATGCAGAGATATATGGAGACTGTGTACGTCCGAGAGGCATGGTACAGTTTTTCACATTTGTGGAATTTTGGAAGTCTTTGTAGTCTATGTGACAATGTTTCTCAATTTTTCAACGTACGTTGTTCAGCCTCAAGAATAGGAGACGCCTTGAGATGTTCTTTGGTATAGCGTAATATTCCAGCTGTTGGAACTCGAGGAAGCGTGAAGTATATCTTTGGGTCTAAAATGTCTTTCACTTTCGTCTAGTGGTAAGGACGACCGCTGCATTGCCTTTGTCTGTCGAGAGAATGAAAATGTCCTTGTTGCTGTTTACGTTTCTCAGCGCTGCCTTTTCCGTTTTAGTAAAGTTGCTCGTAGGGGTATGGTCCTGTGTAGAATTCTGACGACTCTCGCCAAATTTCCTCTCACATCTGTGGGAACGGACCTTATGCCAGACTCTAAGTTCGAGATATCTCTTATTGATAACTCGATGGAGTCACTGAGTTCCCAGAATGCACCGCAATGTCATCCGTGGACAGTCGGTACTCAGATAAGTTGACAACTGTGCATTTTGTGTCCTGGATCAGAACTGATCTAAAAGCCCGCCAACCGGTCATGTTTCGGTATTTGTTTCTTTGATGGATACGACATCCTGGCCTTGATAGAGTTGTATGTGATGCGGTCCACGTGGTCGCATTGTATCTGAATGTTTTTGTTGGAATGAAGATGCAACGCATTATGGTCTGGTCCAGGCAGTGTCGGGAGCATAAGGGGCTGTGGCTCCGGTTCTGCTCAGTCGTGGCGACCGCCTCAGGCCGCATCTGTCACCCGCGGAAGGAGATTCCTGCCCCCCGCTGACGCCGCGCCTTTCTTTTGGAAGGGCGTTTAAACGGTCGTTTATAACCACGGCAATTTTCCCACACGGTCACAGATTGAGTTTGTCAATTATGGGTGAATAAAAAAACGTATTTCGGAAATGACAACCACCTTTGCGACCCCATCTCTACTTGACTGTCCTCGGATAAAAGTTGAAATACAATTTTATTTGTAGTCCTATTCAAATAGCCGTGACGTTACCAAAAACAATACGTCCTCTTTTCCAAAATCA